CCCATCCATCCACCCTGACCTCTTTGTCTCAGAGGACTTTGTGGCTCTTTGGGGTCACTTATTAACTCTCAAGTGATCACATGATGCTCAGAGAAAGAATAGCTAATTAGAAGTGTAGATTGATCACACACCGGCCAAATTGCAGTAAAAAATAAGTCAAAATTCAAAAACTTTAACCTTCAAAAATTGCATCTTGCATATTTGTCTATTTGCATGTGTCTTGCAGAGTTGGCTGGTGGGTCAGTTTACCATTTGGTTTGGACTATATCTCATCAACTGTTGATGGACATCTGTGAAAGTCTTCAGACGATACTGACTTACATTTGGGTGCTTGATGAAATTACTTTGGTTCATGACCAAAAATTGTACATTTGTACAATGTGTTAAATGCCAGGTCGAAAATGTTAGCATGCTAGCATACTAAATTCAAATGGTGGCCATACTACACCATACCGTGCTGTACTTACAGCCTCAGAGCTGCTACTATTGCCGGTTACTCTTAAGGCCAGTTGATGGTTTCAGTGTTCACAAGTATCCGCATGACATAAAAATGTAAAAACTTTTGCCATCTTCCCACGTCCACAAAGAGGATCTCTCTGTGTGGTCATTTCCACACATGCATACTGTAAAGTGGATGTTTGTACTGTTGCACACACTGACTCTCTCAAGTTGTTCAGCCAAACTCAATAAACAAAGGAGCTTTTCTTCTCTCTGTCAGGTTGCCATCATGTGTTCTAGTACGCATGTGTAGAACGTGTCGGCGAAGGCTTACATCCGATCGTAGTTTGCATAGAAATGTGTGCTGTCCAGGCTGTGACCGCCAACTTCCTCTTACCACAACCAAGCGCTTGTAGCCAGGCTGAGATTCCGTATGACTAATTAATTAGGGGTTTTGCAGAAATGTCTGATGTTTAGCATGTCCGAGTGGGATGCTTGTTGCTCTCTGACCTTTTATGTAGAGGGAATGTATGGGAAACATTGAAGAGCTAGCAACCATTTTCAATAAACCCAATGATATGTTAAAATAACAGTCTCAAGAAGCATATAGTAACCTTTAAAATACGTTTGAGTAGGACGCTGTATGTGTTAGCATGAAGCCAGGAGTATATGAACACTGGGTTTAGATATGATGAAGAGCAGATGTGCACTGTAGCGCCCAAATATTTATCTTAGAAAAGACTGGTGTTCGTTTGTGCACATCTGACACAAAGATGTTCCTATTTTTATTCACTTACGCATCATTGAAGTGCATCAAAAAGCACATTACACCTCTTTATTAGATGCCAGTAAAGTCAATTGGTGTTCCTTCTGCCAAATCAACAACATCTGAATCCAGGTGATGTCGACACGGTTCAGATCTCAGCTGGTTGATTCACACACTGACACTGTGTGAAGTGACTCTCAATCGGAGGCCTGACTGCCTCGCTGTGTGATCTTTGGCACAGTGGAGCCTGTATGTCAGTCAGATCAAAGTATCGTGAATGAAGCCCTACATTCTCAAAGCGCCAACAGCAATGCTCTAAATAGAGATTTTTAAATAGACAGTAGTGTCTATAAATACCCCCCAGATCTGCTCCATTTTGACTTTTGTGGAACTCCTCTTGCACTGACTCACACACTATTCCTGAACGTGTGCTGTTATTTATTTTTAGATGCTCTGAGGATCATCTCTCACATGGGATCAGATACTCAGGCACACGGTTATTGAATGGATTTCTCTCCTCGCAAATCAAAGACAACAAGTCATTTCCTAAGTAAAGGTACTAAAAACACAGTGAAAACACTAAATCACAACGTATGGGAGAATAATCAGGAAAACACTTAGGTTATTAAAAGTAACAGTACTCAATGCAAAGAAATACCCCTGTCTTTGTTGTATGCTCTCACTAGCCACTTTATTAGGTACACCTGTAGAATCCTCTCATGTAAGTCAACAGGGTGGACAAAATATTAAGAACACCTTTGAAAGTAATGCGGTCCAGTGTACCACCACCCACTATGACCTCAATAACAAACATAAAGTAGAACTATTACCTTTTTGTTAAAGAGGTTTTATAAAAGTGCAAATTTATGGGAAAATATTGGTTTAAATTGCAATACATTTCACAGGTGTGTCTAATAAAGTGGTTTTACACGGACTGTATTACACTGTATACTGTGTAAGTGGCATTTTATTGTTATAGTTTGTTTGCATTTAAAAAATTTAATACAAGACTGTGAAGTGAGGTGCTCTTTAATATATCAACTAAATGAAAGTAGCACTTTCATTTTACTTGTTTTGACCAGCCAAGAATGAAAACCCTAAAATGACAGAAAAATAAATTGAACATGTTAAATTTGTAAAAGAAAAGCAGCAAATCTTCACACCTAAGAAGCTGGAATCATCAGGAGTTATCAAAAAAGCTTCCAAATGATGTTTAGTCAATAATCTTCCCAGCTTTGTTTATTTATGTTATTAACTACCTAAATCTGCGATAAGCAGAGTAGTTTTTCAAACATGTAACTTATTATGATTGTAAATAAATGTAATGGGAAACAAAGAACAATGTTTCCCTGTGAAATGTTGTATAACATGACATGTAAAATAGGTAGAAGAACCTCAACATTGTGCTTTTGAGAACATTTGTTCAATTATTCCGTACAACAGTTGGTTAATTATGTGCATGTTTTGTTTGAAATCATATTTTTATTTTATTTGCATATTTTATTTTTAGACAGAACATATATATTCTGAAAGAACACAATACATTACATAACGTAATTTATTGTTTAATTTAACTTACAACTTTGACCTATGTACACACACACACACACACAC